AACTAAGAGTTTGCAAGCCACAACTAAGGAGCCTGCATGCCGCAACTAAGGAGCCTGCCTGCCACAACTAAGACCTGGTGCAACCAAATAAATAAAAAATAAAATAAGAAACAAACCACAGAGCTACTATGAAAGAAAACTATAGACCAATATCTCTCATGAACACAGATGCAAAAATCCTCAACAACAACAAAAAAACCTCAACAAAATATTAGCAAATCAAATCTAACAATGTATTTTTTCTTAGGGTGGGGGCGCTGCATTGGATCTTTGTTGCTGCACACGGGCTTTCTCTAGTTGCAGCAAGCAGGGGCTGCTCTTCGTTGCAGTGCGCGGGCTTCTCATTGCAGTGTTTTCTCTTGTTGCACAGCACAGGCTCTAGGCACGCAGGCTTCAGTAGTCGTGGCAAGCGGGCTAAGTAGTTGTGGCTCATGGGCTCTAGAGCACGGGCTCAGTAGTAGTGGCACACAGGCTTAGTTGTTCTGCGGCATGTGGGATCTTCCCAGACCAGGGCTCGAACCCGTGTCCCCTGCATTGGCAGGCAGATTCTTAACCACCGTGCCACCAGGGAAGTCCCAACAATATATTTTAAAAGTACATGTATATCCTATTTAGCATGAATAACAAAAAGGATTAAAAAACTATTTTCTATACAGAAAAACTACAAAAGATTGACAGTGAAATAGAAGATTAAAACAATTATAAACCAACTAGATCTAACAGAAATCTACAGAACAACTCACCCAATAATGGCAGAATATATATTCTTCTCAAATGCACTTGGAACATTCTCCAAAATAGAGCATATATTGGGCCAAAAAACAAATCTCAATAAATTTTTTAAAACTGAAATAAAGTATGTTCTCAAAGTACAGTTAAATGAATTTAAAAATCAATAACAAAGAAACCTGGAAATTCAAAAGTATTTGGAAATTAAACAATATATTCCTTAAAACGCAGTGGGTCAAAGAAGAAATCAAAAGGGAAAAATCAGAAAATAATTTGAGATGAATGAAAAATAAAGACAACATACAAACACTTACAGGATGCAGCTAAAGCAGTGCTTGAAGGAAATTTATAGCTCTAATTGCATATATTTAAAAAAGAAGCTCTCAAATCAATAACCTAAACTTCTACCTTAAGACACAGGGAAAAGAAAAGCAAACACAAAATGAGCAGGAGGAAGGAAATAATAAAAATTATAATGAGAATTAATGAAATGGAGGACAGAAAAGAAAATAAAGTAAAAAAAAAAAATCAATGAAATCAAAAGATGGTTTTTGAAAAGATCAACAAAGTTGACAAAACTTAGCTCTACTGACCAAGAAAAAAAGAGAACTCAAATTTCTAGAATCAGAATTGAAAGGGACAGAACTACTGACCTTGCAGAAATAAAATGAATTGTAAAGAAATATCACGAACAGACTGTATGCTGACAAATCTGATAATTTAAATGAAATGGATAAATTGACAGAATAACACAAACTACCAAAGCTACTGAAGAAGAAACAGACAATATGAATAGACCTATAACAAGTAAACAGATTGAATTAATCATCAAAAAACTATCCACATAAAGAGGCCAAGAGGGCTTTACTGTTGAAATCTACCAAACATTTAAAGAAGAATACATACCAATTCTTCACAAACTCCTCTAAAAAAAAAAAAAGAGAACACCTCCCAATTCATTGAGGTCAGTTTTAGCCTGATGACAAAAATCCATATAAAGACATCACAAGAACAGAATATCACAGACCAAAATCCTTTTAAATTATGGATGCAAAAATCTTCATCAAATTACCAGCAAACTGAATCTAGTAATAAACAAAAAGATTTATACAATGTGACCAAGTGGGATTTATCCCAGAAAAGCATGGATTAACATCCAAAAGCAAATTAATGTAATACACCACATTAAAAGAATAAAAAACAAAACCCACGTGAACATTTCAACAAATGCAGAAAAAGCCAACACCCTCTTCCTGATGAATACATTCAACAAACTAAAATAGAAGGGAACCTCCTCAGCCTGTTAAGGGCAATTACAAAAAACCCAAAGCTAAAATCACTCTTAATGGTAAAAGACTAGATGCTTTCCCCCTAAGATCAGGAAAAGAAAAGGGTGAATGTTTCAATACTTCAACTTTGTATTGGAGGTTCTAGCCAGGGAAGTTGGACAAGAAAATCAAATAAAGGCATCCAAATTGGAAAGGAAGAAGTAAAACCATTTCCATTTGCAGATGACATGATCTTGTATACAGAAAATTCTAAGAAATCCTTTAAACTATTAAAACACATAAATCAATTCAGCAAGTTTCCAGGGTATATGATTAACATAAAAAATCAATTGTAGGGACTTCCCTGGTGGTCCAGAGGTTAAGACTCCGTGCTTTCAATGCAGGGGGCACGGGTTTGATCCCTGGATGGGGAACTAAGATCCTACATGCCGCATGGCACAGCCTAATAAAAATTTTAAAAATAATTTAAAAAAATCAATTGGGGGCTTCCCTGGTGGCGCAGTGGTTGAGAGTCCGCCTGCTGATGCAGGGGACACGGGTTCATGCCCCGGTCCGGGAAGATCCCACATGCCGCGGAGTGGCTGGGCCTGTGAGCCATGGCCGCTGAGCCTGCGCGTCCAGAGCCTGTGCTCCGCAACGGGAGAGGCCACAACAGTGAGAGGCCCGCGTACCGCAAAAACAAAAAAACGAAAAAAAAAAAAACAAAAAAAAAATCAATTGGATTTCTGTACACTAAAAATGAACAATCCAAAAATGAAATTAAGAAAGCAATTGTGTAACAGCATCAAGAATAAAATACTTAGAAATAAATTTAACAAAGATGTAAACTTATACCCATAAATTAGAAAACATTGTTGAAATAAATTAAAGATCTATTTTAAATAAATAGAAAGCTCTCCCACGCTCATGTATTAAGGATTTCAGATCGTTAAGATGGTAAAACACTGGTGAAAATAACTAAAGATGATCTAAATAAATAGAAAGACATCATATTCATGGATCAGAAGACTTAATGCTGTTAGGATGGCAATAATCCCCAAATTGATTATACATATTTGATGCAATTCCTATTCAAATCCCAGCTGGACTGTTTGTAGAAATTGACAAGTCAATTCTCAAATTCACATGAAAATATCAGGAACCCAGAATAACCAAAACAATCCTGAAAAAGGTGAACAAAGTTGGAAGACTCACACTTAACAATTTCAAAACTCACTACAAAGCAAACAGTAATCAAGCTACTTGGTACTGACATAACGATAGACACATCGATCAATGGAATAGAATTGAGAGTACAAAAATAAACCCATACATCAATGGTCAACTGATTTCCAACAAGGATGCCAAGACTATTCAACACAAAAAAAAGAACAGCCTTTTTAACAAATAGTGCTGGGACAACTGTATAGCCACATGCAAAATAATGAAGCTGGACCCTTACACCTCATGCCAAAAATTATTTCAAAATGGACCAAAGTACTAAACATAAGAGTGAAAGCAATGAGACTCTTAAAAGAAAATGTAGGTGTAAAATCTTTAGCACTTCGCAATGGCTTTGGCAATGGATTCTTAGATATGATACCAAAAGTATAAGCAACAAAAGATAAATTGGACTTCATCAAAATTAAAAACTTTTGTGAGTAAAAGGACACTATCAACAAAGTGAAAAGATAATCTACAGAATGGGAGAAAATAACTGCAAACCATGTTTGATGAGGGACATATCTTACAACTCAATAATAAAAGACAAATAACCTAATAAGAAATAGGCAAAAAATCTGAATAGAGCCTTCTCCAAAGAGAAAAAACAAATGGCCAACAAGGACATGAAAAAATGCTCAACATAATTAGTCACTAGGGAAATGCAAATCAAAATCACAATAGATGCCACTTCACATCCACCAGGATGGCTATCAGAAAGTCAGATAACAAGTTTTGGTGAGGATGTGGAGAAATCTGAACTCTTGTAACACTGCTGGTGGGAACATAAAACGGTGCAGCCACTTTGGAAAAGAGTTTGGAAGTTCCTCAGAAAGTTAAACACAGCAATTCCACTCCTGGGTATACACCCCAATCCAGCATTTCCATTTTATCCAGCAATTAATCCAGCAATTCCACTCCTGGGTATACACTCAAAAGAAATAAAAACATATGCCCACACACAAATGTGTACACTAATGTTTATAGTAGCATTATTTATAATAGCCAAAATGTAAAAACAACCCAATGTTCATCAACTGAGAAATGAATAAAAAGGGGTATATCAATACAGTGGGATATTATGCAGCCATAAAAATTCAGTCGTGATTGATGTTACAACATGGATGAACCTTGACAATGCTATGTTGAGTGAAAGAAGCCAGACACAAGAGGCCACATGTTGAATGATTCCATTTATATTAAATGTTCAGAAAAGGCAAATCCGTACAGGTAGAAAGTAGATTATGACTGCTTAAAATTAGGGTGGAATGGATAAGGAGATTTTTTTTAAGGTGATGAAAATTGACTGTGATGATGGCTGCACAAATCTGTGAATATACTAAAAAAGTAAAAAATAAAAAAATAACTGAATTGTATACTTTAAATGGATGAATTATACAGTACGTGAGTTTTATCTCAATAATGTGTTACCCTCCAAAATTTTTCATTAAGAAAAAACTGTAACATCGCAAATTAAACATAGCTCTTTGAAAGCCCCACTACAATAGGAGGTAAAGGAAAAAAATTTAAAGGTTCATATTCACAAAGAAAAGAATGGGAGATGAGACTATAGCAAGAGCAGGGCAAGCCTAGATGCAAGACAATTTCCATCAAGGGATCCCAGAAAGATTCGGAGAACCAACCTCCACACAAATAAAATGGGAATAACTTCTGTATTTCTCACCGGGTTGCTGTGAGGAGCAAAACAGGAATTATATGTGAAAGTGCTTTTCAAATAGTAAAGTGCTATAAAAGTACACTATAAAGGAGCCTTATCATTACCTTGCCAAGTCATGACCCCAACGAATTGATCAGCTAATTCCTGAGGGAAACTCCAATGCTCCGGAAGACAAAGTGTTCCATCAGATCTTTCAGAACACAATTTCTCCAAGTTAGCAACCAGGACGTTCAGGCAGATGTTGACCAAAGAGTAGGGAGACGCCTCCTCCTAGCAAACAAACCCCCAAAGAAATTTGTTAGAACACATCTATAAAAATACAACATAAAAGTGGTCATGCCATACATCAAACTACTTAATGAGGATATCTTAAGATACATTTTCCTCACTCTAATGATTTATATGTAATAAAACTACCTTATTCCAACTATTAACTGAATGGAAGACTTCTATCTGTTGTAGCTTCTGCTGTATCTTTAAAAAAAATTAAGTTCTCTCAACCCTTCACTTATCTCCTGTTCTCTGCCAGCCACTGAAAATACAGGGATGAGTAAGATATAGTTCTAATCCTTTTGGAGCTAACAGTTTAGTGTGGAATACATCCAATAAATCTGACAACTTCATACAACATAAGGGACTAATCAAGCAGAAATCACATGGTCATTCATTCAATAAATATTTATTGAATGATTACTACATGCCAGAGGATAAGAAGGCCTGCCTATTCCCACCCTCATAAGTGTTCACACTGTAAAAGGTTGCTATACCCAGGAGGTTGTAGAAGAATTAGAACTGACAGATGTAAAACATCTTCTCTAAGAGACTAGCATTTGTTCATTCTACAAATATTTGAGGGACTTCCTGGTGGTCCAGTGGCTAGGACTCCATACTCCCAATGCAGGGGCCCTGGGTTCGATCCCTAGTCAGGGAAGTAGATCCCACATGCCTCAACTAAGAGTTCGCATGTTGCAACTACAGATCCCACATGCTGCAACCACGACCCGGTGCAGCCAAATAAATAAATTTTTAAAAACATATATTTGAAAGGTATGGCACTCAGACATGAAGAGAGAGTGATTAGCCAGAGATTGCATTTTTGTCAAAGGTTTCAACATGCAATACATTCACTGACCTCCACCTCACTTTTAACTGATTAAATTCCCTCCATAGTCCGAAGTATAAATTACTCCTTTACACATATCCTCAACTCCTTGTTCCCTCTCCTCCATTACACTCTAAGACATTCTCCTGGAAGAACTTCACTATTCACCTTTTTTATGGCAACACCCAGCAGCTAATCATCTATGAAGAGGGGAAGAGGGGACTTCCCTGGTGGTCCAGTGGTAAAGAATCCACCTTACAATGCAGGAGACCTGGGTTCAATCCCTGGTCAGGGAACTAAGATCCCACATGCCACGGGGCAATTAAGCCCACGCGCCACACCTACTGAGCTCGCACACCTCAACTAGAGCCCATGTATCCCAAACTACAGAGCTCACGTGCCCCAAACTACAGAGCCCACACACCCTGGAACCTGCAGGCCACAACTAGATAGAAGCCCGTGCACCACAATGAAAGATCCCACATGCCTCAATGAAGACCCTGTGTGCCGCAACTAAGACTCAACACAGCCAAAAATAAATAAATAAATATTTTTTAAAAAAGAAGAAGAGGGGAAGAGTCACACAACATAGTATGTCATGGAAAATTCATAAACATTAACTTCAAATGAGCCCTTAGTAGCTGGAAATCCTTCAAGGTCTCTTTAGACAGGGCACTTTCTCACCATCAGGCAAGAATTATTTCATGCCTTCTACTTGTTCCTCAAACCCATTTCATGCTGGTAACAGAATCTGACTCACTTCAGTGAGAAAAATGAAGCCACCTCACCATCAAATTTAGTTTGGAACTGCATGCATCTTTTCCTTGGTCTCTTATATGGAAAACATGTACCTCCTTGCAAAGACCAACACTTCCACGTGTGCTGGCTAGATTTCATCCCTCCTGCCTTAGCCCCTCCTTGTTATTTCTTCATTCATGCACATCTTCAAACTCTCCTTCTCAAATGGATCATTCTTTTTTTTTTTTTGGCCAGGCCACACAGCTTGCGGGATCTTAGTACCCTGAGCAGGAACTGAACCTCAGCCCAGGCAGTGAAAGCACCAAGTCCTAACCTCTGGACCACCAGGGAATTCCCATCAAATGGATCACCCTTTTTTTTTTTTCCCAATAAATTAATTTATTTTTGGCTATGTTGGGTCTTCATTGCTGTGGTGGGCTTTCTCTAGTTGCGGTGAGCGGAGGTTTCTCTTCGTTGCAGTGTGCGGGTTTCTCATTGCGGTGGTTTCTCTTGTTGCAGAGCACAGGCTCTAGGCACACGGGCCTCAGTAGTTGTGGCACACGGGCTTCAGCAGTTGTGGCACGTGGGCTCAGCAGTTGTGGCTCGTGGGTTCTAGAGTGCAGGCTCAGTAGTTGTGGCGCACGGGCTTAGTTTCTCTGCAGCATGTGGGATCTTCCCAGACCAGGGCTCGAACCTGTGTCCCCTGCATTGGCAGGAGGATTCTTAACCACTGCGCCACCAGGGAAGCCCCTGGATCACTCTTAACATACAATTTATGCTCTATTATTTGCCTTAAAAACAAAAGCCTTCTGTTGACCCCCACATCCTCTTCAACCATATTTCTTCAGTAAGTTTACTCTGCACACTGTAATCACTATCCTGTTATTCATTTTTGTTTTTCTTTTAACTGCGGTCTAATTTACATATAGCAAAAAAATTACTTTTTGGTGTAGTTAGTTCAACGAGTTTTGACTGATGCATACAGTCGTGTACTACCACCATAATAAAGATACAGAACAGTTCCATGACCCCAAAATTCTCTAGTGTCCCTCTGCAGACAATCCCTCCCACCAACCCCAAGCAACCACTTATCTTCGTTCTGTCCCCAGTGTTCTGCCTTCTCCAAAATGTCATATAAGTAGAATCATTAAGTAACCGGGCCTTTTGAATCTGACATCTTTCATTTTGCATAATGCATTTAACAAAGATTCATCTGTGTTGCTGCATGTTTTTGTAATTTGTTCCTTTTTATTGCTGAGAAGCATTCCACTGCAATGAATATACCACAATTTCTTTATTCACCAACTGAAGGGCATCTGGATTACTTGAAGTTTTTGACAATTTTGAATAAAGCCGCTATAACTATTCACAAAGTCTTGTGGGAACACAGTTTTCATTTTTCTTGGGTAGTTACCTAAAAATGGGATTCCTGGGTCCCTGGAATTGAACACTTCCTACATGTTAAGCATGTATTTAACTTTACATAACAGAGTGCTAACCCGTTCTTAGAATGTGACTGTACTATTTTGCATTCCCAAAAGAACATATGAGAGTTTCAACTGCTCCAAATCCTCGCCATTTCAGAATTCATGTCAGAAAGGAGCCAACGAAGCAAAAAAATTCCCTGAAACAGTCTCAACGGACTTTTACTTGGGTCTCATACCCAGAATTGGTTCATATGCCCATGTGAAAATGGAAATTCTGCTTCCTGTGGGTAATTTCTCTAGATCTATCTTCCAGGTTACTATTTCTTTATTCTGTGGCATTTAGTTCTTCATTGTTGAATTATATATTGTTCTTTTTTCATTTTTATTTCATCTTTTATTTCTTTAATAAATTTTAAATACACTTATTTTATACTGTTTCAGTAATACCATTTTCTGAAGTCTCTGGGAATCTAATTCTGTTAGTTATTGATTCTGTTGATTTTTTTAAGATTTTTTTTTTAATGTGGACCATTTTTAAAGTCTTTATTAAGTTTGTTACAATATTGCTTCTGCTTTACGTTTTGGTTTTTTGGCTGTGAGGCATGTGGGATCTTAGCTCCCTGACCAGGGACTGAACCTGCACCCCCTGCATTGGAAGGCGAAGTCTTAACCATTGGACCACCAGGGAAGTCCCTCTGTTGACTCTTAATCATAGAGGTTCATGTTTTATAATTTAAGATTGTGAGCTAATTTTTTTTTTTTTAAGGCCACACAGCACGGCATACAGGATCTTAGTTCCCTGACCAGGGATCGAACCCGTGCCCCCTGCATTGGGAGCGCAGTCTTAACCACTGGACTGTCAGGGAAGTCCATGAGCTAATCTTTAGTGAGAGTTTACTAGACTCCTCTGAAGCCTGGGAAGAAGATATGTCACATCAGAGAGATTATGCTAAATGCTACTTACTTAGGGGCATCACCAGGGGCCATTTTGATAATTTCTCAGCTACACATTTCCTGAACCAAGCTAGAAATGTCAGTTAAAACCCTTAGTCTGTATGAGGACAGACCTGTGATAGCAAATTTTTAGGACATATTTTTCTCACTCAAAATCCAAGCCAAAACTGACAAGCTTCCCTGTTTCCCTTTCCCATAAGCAGATTGTTTTAGACCTACCATTTCACTGAAGTATGACCAGCCTTTGTTAACCCATGTTTACATATACACATATATATGTATATATTACAGTTCACAGTCTCCATTCAAACTTCCCGCCGGCTTTTGGCAAATGTCTAGTCTCTAATCTTTGGTTATTTTAGGGCCTGCCTACAGTGGTGATTTCCAGCTTCTTTGAATTGGGTGGGGATGCTCAGGATTTTCCTTACTTTGCATTTGAAAGTGTTTGTTATATTTTATCCAGAATATTTCCTTTTAAGACTTTATGACATTATTTGCCATATTACCGGACATGGCAGCCTCATTTTCAAAATACAGTAAAGGGGACTTCCCTGGTGGTGCAGTGGTTAAGACTCCGTGCTCCCAATGCTGGAGGCCGGGGTTCAATCCCTGTCAGGGAACTAGATCCCACATGCATGCTACAACTAAGAGTTCACATGTCACAACTAAGGAGCCCATGTGCTGCAACTAAAGACCCAGCAAAAACAAATATTTTTTAAATACAGTAAAGATTAAATCCATATAAAAGATGTTTAGAACATATGTAAAATATTTAAATAATATAATAAAATATAAAACAATATAAATATTTTTAGATATGGGGATATATGTATATGTATAGCTGATTCACTTTGTTATAGAGCAGAAATTAACGCACCATTGTAAAGCAATTATACTCCAATAAAGATGTTAAAGATAAATAAATAGGGGGCTTCCCTGGTGGCGCAGTGGTTGAGAGTCCGCCTGCCGATGCAGGGGACACAGGTTCGTGCCCGGGTCTGGGAAGATCCCACATCCCGCGGAGCGGCTGGGCCCGTGAGCCATGGCTG